AATTCTTGAATTTGATATTTGTCGTATCGATAATGAGTCGGGAATTAATAAATACTGGAATTTTTATAATTTGAGGTTTGATCAAAATATGGACCTGGTTTAATGCCTCAGAGATAGGTGATACCTGTGAACAGCTTATCAGTGGGTACACGTTATCACGCGTCATCGAAGCGTCAGTCTATCAACGAAATAACACGTTTCCAATAAACACGCCATTGTGGCTGTCGACAAAGCTTAGCAACGCTAATAGATAGCCATTGGCATCAATCAGTCGTCCTTCCTATTCATCGCTCTACTTCTACGTAACCATTTTTCTGCCATTTTCGTGGAAACTCGTTAATGATTCTATTCTCGAAAAATCAGTGCATTACAATTTAACCTAAGAATTTGTGTATGTAATCTCGAATCCAATTTCTTATTAATAATAAATTGTTCTTAGCGTAAATTTATAATACAGGAAAAGAATTAATTCATTGGTTATTACTTGAACAATATCATACTAATGTTTAAATGTACCTATAATTTACAAAAGTGTAAAAATTATTACACTTATTTCTAATAATAAATTGGTCACAACGTAAATTTATAATACAAGTGGAAAAATTACTAAATTATAGGCTATTACTAGTACATATAACGTATTTGCGTGAAAATGTATCTATAATTAGCAAAAGGTTAATTAATTACTACATTTATTGTTAATAACAAATATTTTGCAACCTATATTAACGATAAAAGTAAAAAAAGTTAATAAATTATTAGCTACTACTTAAACAAACAACGTATTTGTGTTAAAATGTATTCGTAACTTACAAAAAGCTAATAAATTAATAAATTTATTGTCAATAACAAATTAAAATCATTGATAACAAATAGTTTGCAAAGTATATTAACGATAAAAGTCAAGAAAATTAATAAATTATTAGTTATTACAGCGGAAAAGTAACTTTTAAAGGAATCGGTAAAGTTCGGAAATTTTCGCCGATCTTCGGTCGGCCGCCGCTATATAAGGGGCCCGCGTGCAGGCTCGAGCCAGTTGTCGCTTCGACTTCGGAGGGTCCGCGTTAATATTTTTCTTTCAGGTACTAATTATTTTTTGTTTCAGCTTTTAATTATCTTTCTTCTTTCAGATTCTATTTCTTTTATTCTAGATTTCATTGTTTGTGCATTCGAATATTTTGTACAATATTCGAATGCTTCGTCGTTGGTTTATTTGTATATCATCGTTGGCTTGATCAATGGCTATTCAATGGCCATTGTCTAGTCTCTTGAATAATTTAATAATAATTCCTTCTTTCAGGTACTAATTATTTTTTCTTTCAGGTTGTAATTATCTTTCTTCTTTCAGATATTATTTCTTCCATTCTAGTTTTCATTGTTTGTGCATTCGAGTATTTCGTACAATATTCGAATGCTTCGTTGTTGATGTATTTGTATATCATCGTTGGCTGGATCAATGGCTATTCAGTGGCCATTGTCCACTCTCTTAAATAATTTAACAATAATTTCTTCTTGCAGATTTTATTTCTTTCATTCTGTGTCTTCGTTTCAGCATTCGAGTATTTCGTACAATATTCGAATGCTTCGTCGTTGGTTTACTTATGTTTCATCGTTGGCTAAATCTTTCCTTTCACAAATTTTACGACTTCCGTTCGATTTGTTTTCGTTAGAGCGTTCGAGTATTTCGTATAATACTCGAGCGCTTCCTCGTTGGTATGTTTATATCTCACCGTTGGAATGTTTCTGTCTCGTAGTTATGTTGCTCAGGTCTCGTCGTTGGCTTGCTCGTTCCATTTGGTTATTATCCTTGATGGTTTCCTCGTACTAATCCCTTTCCTTTCAGCTACATATTAACAATAATATATTCTGTTTTAGCTTTTAGGTTTCTCAAGATTCTGTTTGCGACACATCAATGAACGATGCGTGCGTTTACTTTTAAGTAATCATAAGATAGATCCATAGACTAAGTATCATGTGCGCGCTATCTGTACAAAGGTAAGCTACCTAATTTGGAGCGAAATTTATAAATTCTCTATCATTTTCTTATCCCCCTCGTTTAGCAAATAGAACATAATTGTTCTCGCGATAATCGCGATCGTTCGTAAGTACCGACTAGCCTACGCGACGTGCTCTCGTGTACTCGATAAGTACATGCTTCGTAAGTCATCCTCACGACTCGTCTCCGACACTCATTTCCAGTCACTGTCAATCTCGTCATGCATCGGGTTCCAGGGTGACCCCCTCGAATCAGTGCGTCTTCTGACCTCGACCGGGCGGTCCGCTGCCTAAGTCGTACGCGACTGGGGCTCGGGCACATGCTGGCTGACGGACTAGTACCATCTACGGTTAGACCACAGGGATGATTAAGTTCTACCCCGTGTGGCTGGGATGCGAAGTGTCTGTCTTGGCCGGCAACCGCCCAGCAGGGCCCTCGCGTTGACACTAGAAGTTTCATTGGTTCAGGGACTATCCTTGGTCCACGTGTAAGTCTTGGCGAGTGCGAGAGTGACTGGAATTGAGCTAGGCCCGATTGGGAGGGTGCCGAGGCATGAAGTTATCTCTGTACACGGGAGTACATCGCCTAGGCTAGTCGGTCTTACGAATAATCGCGAACTCGTTCGGGCGTGTCGCGATTTTCTATTTGCTCGTGTGTTTGTTATTTCATTCCCTAATTTTATGGGAACTTGAAAATATCTTAGCGTTGCGATAGTAGAGTTTCATTGTACCGAACCGAAACCCCTTTTGTAAGACACGAAATATAATAAAGTGTCAGTAGAGTCATTTTAACTTAATTCGCTCCAAGTTTGACTAGGCTATCTTTGATACAGATAGCGCCAACAGGCTGTGCCACTAGGGCGCATGTCGGGTCTCGATGCGTAGCCACCTCCACGTGGTGAGACCCGGTAATTGGTATCGTTTTCCTAAATATAATTTTTGGGAAATGATACCAAGCTAAGAGCTACGCACAAAATTTAATATATGTCTTATCTCTTGTAAATTTTCAATATTTTCTTTGAACTTTGAAAATAAAAAGTGGGCTATATCACTAATAATTAATTAATTAGGGATAAATTTATATCCAAAATAGGGGAAAATTTATATCCAAGTTATATTGGAAAGGTCAAGAGGGATCTGCCTTTACGACTCAGTTATAAAAGTACATAGATTAATCACAGAAATTGAGTAATTTGTTGATTTTTCTCTAAGTGATGAGCAAAATATTGCAAAAAAACGCGGGAAGTATTGTTGTGTTCTTGGAAGTGTGCATGCTTCGCGCAAATGAATATACGTCTTTGTATTGAGATAACCTTCGGTTGTAATTAAATAGCGTGAGATATAAAGCATTGTTTTTCTACCTTTTATTAGTGATAGCAGAGCCTGGTTGTAAAAATATTTCTATTGCAATAATATATTCTCTTGAAATAAACGGCCACGTGCAAGAGGACAAAAGAATTGGACTCGTGGAATATCAGCAGTGTAGAACCATTAGATGGGAAAAATTATTTTCTATATAATCTAATATTATATTTTATTAAATTTAATCTCTTACATAAAGAAATGTTTTTGGCGAGCAATAATGTGTTATATTTCAGAACGATGTAGCTGAGGTATACAAAGAAAAGAGAGAGGTTCTAATGAAGGTAGCGAGAAGAGTAAATGTGTATTATGTCGAATCAAAGCACAGGAAAGAGACAACATAGTAACAAGAGAGAAAAATGTGTGGCATGGACATGCAAATATGAGGATCATTGAAGAGATGGAGAATTAACGCTTGGCAGTAGTTATTAATGGTACATATAAATTGAATATAGAGTGTGAATGTTGTTAAATGATAAATGTACAAAATTAAATCTAAGATCTTACATATAGAAATGTTGTTAATCAGCTCTAACATGTTATATTTCAGAATGATGTATCTGAGGTATACAAAGAAAAGAGAGAGGTTCTAATGAAGGTAGTGAGAAGAGCAAATGTGTATTATGTCCAATCAAAGCACAGGAAAGAGACAACATAGTAACAAGAGAGAAAAATGTGTGGCATGGACATGCAAATATAAGGATCATTGAAGAGATGGAGAAATAACGCTTGGCAGTAGTTATGAATGGTACATATAAATTGAATATAGACTGTGAATGTTGTTAAATGATAAATGTAGGAAATTAAATCTAAGATCTTACATATAGAAATGTTGTTAATCAGCTCTAATGTGTAATATTTCAGAATGATGAAGCTAAGGTATGTAAAGGAAAGGGAGAAGTTGGAATGAAAGCAGTAAGAAGAGGAAATGCTTATTATGTTGAATCGAGATATAGGAAAGAGGCAGCATATGTATCAAGAGAGAATTATATGTGACATTGACATGCAAATATGACTGTCATTGAGGAGGTGGGGATTGATCACTTGGTAATAGTTATGGAAGGTAAAGATGAATTGAATATAGAGTGTAAATGTTGCTAAATGATTAGTGTAGAAAATTAAATCTAAGCTCTTAGATAGAGACATGTTGTTAATCAGCTCTAATGTGTTATAGTTCAGAATGATGAAGCTGAGGTATCTAAAGAGAAGGAAGAAGTTGAAATGAAACCAGTGAGAAGAGGAAATGCTTATTATGTTGAATCGAGATATAGGAACGAGGCAGCATATGTATCAAGAGAGAATTATATGTGACATTGACATGCAAATATGACTGTCATTGAGGAGGTGGGGATTGATCACTTGGTAATAGTTATGGAAGGTAAAGATGAATTGAATATAGAGTGTGAATGTTTCATTAAAAGAAAAATGTGTAGAAATATCTATAGGAACTTGGAAACTATAAAAGCCATAGGAATAATGGGTTTGTTTGTAAAGCCAAGTTCAAAATGAGTTAAAAGGTATGTCTTAACTGCTGATAATTATTTGAGAAAGAACCATTTGGTTGTCTGATTTATAAATAACTAATGATTTAATATGAAATATTATTGACGAAGGATTTGCTTTATTAAAGAAGATTTACAGACATGAGTAATATTTATGTACAAAAGCTACTCACTGTGGGTAAAGAAAGTATTAGTTAATAATATTTCAATGGATTTTATATGTTTTTAATAATATAACCTATATACAATATGTACTTTCCAAATTTCTATATTAATACTTTAAATAATTTCTAATTTAAATTGCAAAAATAAATAATAAATAATAAATTTCAAAAAATGTGATTTTAAAAGTATTTTACATTAATAAAACATATATTTGTTATAATTAGGTTGTAAGGAGGACAACAGCTGTTGATAGTGATTTGGAATTATGGGCAAAAGAAACTCCAAAAGCATGTAGAAATTTCATTTATGTGTGGAAGGTTATTATGATGACACTATACTTAATAGAATTATCGAAGGATTCGTAGCACAACGTAGTGATCCCACACGTACAGGAGAAGGTGATAAAATATATGGAGAACCGTTTAAAGTGAGACTATATATTAAAATAAAATGAATTCCTTTTTTGAGCCTCGACGAGGTTTAATTTCTATGGCTAATGCTGGAAAAGATGGCAATGGTTCCCAATTCTTCTTTACTCTTGGTTCTATACCAGAATTACAGAATAAACATACAGTCTTTGGTAAAGTTACTGGACAAACAATATATAACATGCTCAAACTTGAAGAAGCACATACAGATAAGATAAATTTAATGTTTATAAGAAAACATATCAAGAATTGGTTTAAATATAATATTTCCTCTTTTCTGTAGAATGATGGACCATTTTATCCTACAAAATTAATAAAAACTATAATATTGAATAATGCATTTTCTGATATTATACCAAGAATAATAGTACAGGAAAGTGAAGAAGTAAAAGACAGTTGCAAAACTAAAACAGCAGGAGTAAAATAAAAATCATATATGTTTGCAGAATTTAGCCCTGATAGTATTGTTTTTTTCAATGAAAAATTTTGTTACAGAGATTGCAATTTTTTGTCATTTGGTGAAGAAGCAGAAGAAGATGAAGAAGAGTCTATGATATTAAATAATAGGTTTAGTGGTAAGGGCAAATCAGGTCATGATCATTTAACTGATCCAAAATTAAGCTTACAACCACCTGGATTTGCAAATGAAAAAAGGAAGGTAGACCGCAGTAGCAATTGGGATAGTGACTACGAAGTAAAAATTCACGAGGAATTAGAAGTTATAAAGAAAGAGAAAGAGTTAGTTTATTGTTTACATGTTAACTATGTTATAGAAAGAAAGGATAGAAGGAAAGCATAAAAAATAAATTGAGAGATACAAAAAAAACCCGAAGAATTATGTCGTTAACAATTAACGTGTATATGTGAAACTTTTTCGAAGTGAATAAAAAATACCTAAGCATATAACCATCGTAGTCTCATTTTATTTTTTGCCAAGAATAAAGTCACTCGCCTTTATCTGTGACTTCATGTACGTCTATAATTAACTCATCAACTTTCATAATTGCATCGTACAGACACAGCTTTAGCGAGCTTTCTAATATAATTCTGGATATGAATTCCTTGTTATTTAATTCATTATTAATGATTGTTGTATAGAGTGTTTGAACCATTGCCGAAGATACTAATGATTTGTCTTTCCATTAGTATAACGGAATAATTAATAATTCCAGTTCATGAATTAATTATAGAAATTTGGAATTTTTCGCAAAAAAAATATATTTATAATTGCTTCATTGGTATTATTAAATATAAAGTACATCGTTTAATATGCAACATCGATAGTTTATCACATAGCTATTTCAAAGATGCGAGATTTTCCCGCTTCAAAAAATACCTAGCATATCCGGCTGCAGCCAACTTCCAGTTGGCGGCAAGCGGACATACCGGTAACAAATGGTGGATCATTCTCACTCGTCAAAGAGAAACATTAAATCTGAAAACGTTTCGTAAAGTAGTGATATCGCTGATTAACGTTTATATACTTTAAGAAGTTCAGAATTACTAACTGTGAACATTCCTTCGGTAGTAATATACTACATGTGAAAACAAGTGAAGTTACATAGTGTAAATCGTATAACGATACATGTGAGAAATGAAGTGGTGTGAGTGCGGGATCCTATAATACTACCGCATTGTCCGTTATTATCGGTTGTAGAAGATTCTAGACTTCGGATGTTCTATAATATATTTGAATATTTTTACTCTGCATAGGCAGCTCGTTATCAATTTTTCTTCAATTTTGACGTTCAATTGCAAAGTAGCTACGTATTATCACTTATACATTCTAAACTTCAATTGTGGATTAGAATATTTTATTACTCCTGCATAGAATAGATTGTTTTCCAACCAGTAGGGTAATTATATTCCGATTGAAGGTGCGTATATGAAATAATGTGACGGAAAAGCAAGTCCCTGTGAAATAGTTGTACACAGTTTACTTTTCTCGCTTATACTTCTAAAATTAGACACTTCGGTTAGGTTTTTTCTATATACCAGCGTAGAGTGGAACTTTCTCTAACGAGATTGCATATTTTTTTACGGTTTCGAGCGTGCCTTTTCGAATAATAGTGCCGAATGTGTCAGTGGCTGCGAAATCGTGCTGCGTAATAGACTTTTTTGCCTTCTATTTTTTGAATTAGGCTTTTTGGATCGGATTTTTCCACATATTCGCGCAGAGTGATTTTTTCCTTAACGGGATTGGATATTTTTTTTCGGTTTCCAGCGTGCGTTTTCGAATAATAGTGCCGAATGTGTCAGTGGCTGAGAAATCGTGCTGCGTAATAGACTTTTTTGGCTTATATTTTTTGAATTAGGCTTTTTGGATCGGATTTTTCCACATATTCGCGCAGAGTGATTTTTTCCTTAACGGGATTGGATATTTTTTTTCGGTTTCGAGCGTGCGTTTTCACATAATAGTGCCGAATGTGTCAGTGGCTGAGAAATCGTGCTGCGTAATAGACTTTTTTGGCTTATATTTCTTGAATTAGGCTTTTTGCATCGGATTTTTTCACATATTCGGGTAGAGTGATTTTTCCTTAACGGGATTGGATATTCTTTTTCGGTTTCAAGCGTGCGTTTTCGAATAATAGTGCCCAATGTATCAGTGGCTGTGAAATCGTGCTGCGTAATAGACTTTTTTGGCTTATATTTTTTGAATTAGGCTTTTCGGATCGGATTTTTCCACATATTCGGGTAGAGTGATTTTTTCCTTAACGGGATTGGATATTCTTTTTCGGTTTCAATCGTGCGTTTTCGAATAATAGTGCCCAATGTGTCAGTGGCTGTGAAATCGTGCTGCGTAATAGACTTTTTTGGCTTATATTTTTTGAATTAGGCTTTTCGGATCGGATTTTTGCACATATTCGGGTAGAGTGATTTTTTCCTTAACGGGATTGGATATTCTTTTTCGGTTTCGAGCGTGCGTTTTCAAATAATAGTGCCCAATGTGTCAGTGGCTGTGAAATCGTGCTGCGTAATAGACTTTTTTGGCTTATATTTTTTGAATTAGGCTCTTTGGATCGGATTTTTCCTCATATTCGCGTATAGTGATTTTTTCCTTAACGGGATTGGATATTTTTTTCCGGTTTCGAGCTTGCGTTTTCGAATAATAGTGCGCAATGTGTCAGTGGCTGTGAAATCGTGCTGCGTAATGGACTTTTTTGGCTTATATTTTTTGAATTAGGCTTTTCGGATCGGATTTTTTCACATATTCGGGTAGAGTGATTTTTTCCTTAACGGGATTGGATATTCTTTTTCGGTTTCCAGCGTGCGTTTTCTAATGATAGTGCCGAATGTGTCAGTGGCTGTAAATCGTGCTGCGTAATAGACTTTTTTGGCTTCTATTTCGGAAATTATGGTTTGAAATTGTGTTTTATCGGCATGTCAGTGTTGATTGCTCATTTGTCTGATCTGTGTACTAATTTTTTTTCGAGTTCGACCAGTTTACAAAATTCACCTACGGAAGTGCAAGTAGTTGTCAAAACGATAGGAAATGGAAAGAATGTTGTAGGAAAATTATTTTTTTTTCTTGTTCGGGTATATTATTGATTTCTATTTTTAGGAATAAATGTAAATAAGGTACAGTAAAACGTAGATATTTCAATTTCAATTTTCTGAGAACTCATTTTTGAATATTGTTAGAATTTCTATTAAATGTAGCTTGTTTGCTTTCACCTGCGATTCTTTTATTCTGTTTCTTTTAAGTGTTAATTCAGTTATTTATTTTGTTTCAGATTTATTACATTGTAAAGCTTTCATATCACTATATTCAATTTGATGTCAAGTATTTATGTTTATGTAAGTATATCTGAGGCTGAAGACTGAAATAATATTCATGATAAGAAACGACTTAAACGAAAGTGGTGTTTGTGCCTCATTTATTTATTTTTTTTTGGTATCATATCTTCAATTCTTATTTATATTCATAGGAATTACTATTGATAATAATTTTATTAATCCTTTGTGCAATTTGTATTTCAGGAAGTATTATGATGTCAACGGAGACCATGCAAGCGGTTCAAATCTCATATTACATTTCCTTTTCTCTTTTATATTCAGGATTTTTGGCAAATACTATTGAAAACCAAATCTTTAGTTCTTTATGTTAATATGATGCTTGATATCCTCTCTAGATTTTGTAATATGTTGGTTATGTAAAAATACTTTAGATTTTCTACAGGTAGATTGTGTAAAAGTCCTATAGAGTTTTGATAAGTAGGTTGTGTAAATGCCTTCTAAATTTGTAATAGGTAGGTTCTATAAAGTCCTTGATTTTTTATAGGATTTCGAGTTTAAAAAACATTCTTGTGTGAGAAATTATAAAATATCTTTAATCTTTTTATAGGTAGGGCTGACGAACCTTGTTTCTGGAGGTCTGGATTACTGAATGCTGGCAATCACATTTTATGTTCCTGTTTATTCATTTTGTTTGAATTTTCTTTGTCGGTTGGGTTTACAATTATCTTTAAATATTGAATAGGCAGGGCAAATTAGATTTTCAATTAGGTCAGCTATTCTCAAATTAATTATAATTTATGGTTATATATTTTTATGTTAAGTTAGAATTATGATTAAGTTAGTTGTAGTGTACAATCCTAGTAGAGAAGTAAATAATGTTTATAAGTATATACAGAGATTTACACTGCAGTGCTAGCACATTAGCCTTTAAGTAAAATTTTTAGTAGTAAGTAAGTAGAATGTATTTAATTTTTTGTATAAACATCATACTTTTTTCTTCTATTTTTCTAATTATTGATTGTTATATTCTTTATGCCAATGAAAATGTGCTATAGTGATAAATTGTAGAATAATAATATCTCACATATTTTATCTCTTTCTTCTATGTTTAATTTGTCTTTTATTCCTAAGTTTAATTTACCTCTCATTCTAGGTACAAATTAACTTTTCTTTGTGGGTTTAATTTTTCTTTTATTTTTAGGTTTAGTTTTTCGGGTCGACTGTTTGTCCAAATTCTTTTTGATGTTTGATTTACACAACGATCAAAGATTGAACGTTTTGCAAATGTGCATCAAGAGCGAAATTTATTTCACTGTTTGTAAATTTTTACGGGAAAGGAAGGGTGGTTGGGACGTGGTTAGGGTCGATTTCCGTATTAATATTTTACAATGGAAATCGATATATATATATATTAACACCTAATAGTAAATTCACATCAAGTATTATCTGAGTCTAAATTATTGTTATTTATTTGACTTATTTTTCAACCGCAAGAGTAAATTTTGTTTCTTCAAATCGAATAAATTTGCTATGAAATATGCTGATCAAACGATTTCGTCCTTTCTATGGAATATTTAATTCAGCAAAAGCAAGACATTGGAAGTTTCTTATGATCGCCTGACTTCTATAGTTCGACAAACGAAACTATAGATAGCGTTTAAAAATATCAATCTGCTTGAAATTTGTCCTTGACTGTGAAGCATTCGCTGTCTCCCTGCTCCCCCCCGCCTGTCATCGTTCGGAACAGTTTCGCTAACGAATAGTGCTGAGGGGCATTGTGAAACTGGAAATTATGGTGAGAAAACATGTGTATTGCGTACCTGCTGCGCTATACTTTGACGGCTATTTTGATACTATTTGTATAGCATTATTAGCTTTGTGCAACTACAACACAATTTTGTTTGCCCAAATTAAATTATCGAATATAAATTTCTCTGTATGTTATTCTGAATTACTTTGTATACTATTCACAGACATGTGATTCGTCATCTCTGGATGCTTTAGGAAGTTCAAATCTTCGACTTGACGCGGGCTTTGAAAGTGGAGGGGCAGCGACCAATCCGCTGTCAGCTAAACGACGCCAAGCACTGTGAATTTCAATCTACTATTGAAAGTCGCATCGTTAGGACGTATCACGTAATGTCACGTAAGTATATTACCGTATCTTCTTGTTGTATAGTACTTTTATTTTTATCGTCCTAGTTTACATTCACTAGCAATAGTTTCGTTCGACTACTAACGTTTGCAATCTTATTGTGACAAAATCAGATAATTTCTCAAATTGTTCGACTCTTCTTAAAAAAATGTTAATGTATTTCGCTATTAGAATCATATTAGTCGATTGATACGAATCATTGTTCCCTTTTAATATGATTGATTATATTTTTTTACATTTGATTTTGATTTATTCTGTGCAGAGTAATCTTTGATGGGCGGAATACGTTTAACAGCTACAGGTTCATACGATATAGCTGCTATTATGACAAATGGCGATCGTAACTGCTGCTCATCGAAAATTGGTAATTATTGAACACAAATTTTTTATTTCGAGAATATTGGTATCACAGGATTTTGTTTTCTAATGGTAGAAGCGAATAAATATCATAAATATCACAAATATTATATTCATGCTTGAACAATAGAACTATAACTTGGAATAAATTCATTTGACTTTCCTATAATTAACTAAAAAATTGAAGTAACTTACATGATCTGACGAATTTGATTTGATAATTCAAAGTGGTCGTATAAATTAAAGTAATACCTATTAATTTTTAATAAGTATTTTCATATATTCGTAATCATTCTGAATAGTAATAATTAATTACAGCGAATAAACATTATATGTGAATAACAATAGTTAATAAGAATAGTGGTATGAAGGAAAAAGGTTCTCAAGTTATATTTTCCACAGACACGCAATTCGTCAACCATGAGAACCCCTACGAAGTTCAAGTCTACGTGCTTTCGCGGGCTTTGGAAATGGCGGGAAGTGCTAAGTCTCTCGACCAATCCGCTGACGGCTAGGCGACGCCATGATAGGGTGGGGTCAGTCTATTGTTGAAAGTCGCGGCAACTGGACGTGAAATCAAATCCAGGTACTTTTTTCATTTATTGTTGCGGAGAACTTACATTTCTGTCCTTTTATCATTTATATACGATTGTTAACTTCATTTGTTTAATATTTGTTTATGTAAAATTTATAATTTTTACTTTTACAGTTTATTACTTGATTCCAAGGATCACGTAGAACGTATTGGATGCACCAACGATCGTATTTGAGGACGAGCAATAAACACCATGATGGTTTGTAATGAAATTCGTCAAATTTGTGTAGAAATTTAGTGATGGCGAAACATTAATTATGTTACGAAAATAAGCTTAATGTGCGTTTCTACTTTCATTTCATCCAAACATTGTTAATCTTTAGTGTAATCATTTAACATTCTTTAATTTCATAATTGATGTTGTTGTAAAATATCATGGAATATCGTGAGACTTGTTGTCGATTTCTTCATTTGATCCTATTTGTAATATATTACTGTATTTCGGTACTAGGATTATATTGCCTATTTGTAACAGAATTTACGATCGCCTATTACCTCTTGTTAACATATTTGAATTTAGCTTCGATAATTTCATTAAAATTTTTGTTTTCTTCTGCACAGGTTAATCTCTGATGACTGGAATGGCCTCAAAACGTAAAAGGTTCAAGGAATGAACGGCATATAGACAAATGGCCGACTTTACAGCTTTTCATTGAAAGCTGGTAATGTCTAATGTATCATACAATTAACTTAAAAGATTTGTATTATATTTCCGATGTGCCATTATTGATAATTGATACAAAATATTAAATCATTCCACAATTTCTTAGAAACTTTTCGATAAAACTGGAAAAAGTTAAATTGTTAAATTAAATATCCTGGTTCCGAGAATTTTGTATCAAATCATTTCTTAATTGTAATGAAATGGCCAAAATAAGTAATTTCAAAGGTGACTTAATAATTTACATATAACTTGAAGTTAATTCATTGGATTTTTCACCATTTAAATAAAAGATTCGAGTAACTTTCACAATTTGCTTTATTTGATTTGTCAATAATAGTACTTAATTATAGTGAATCAATGTTATATGTGAATAACAATAGTTAATAAAAATAGTTGTACAAAAGAACTGTAACATATATGTATGATTTCCCCCAAAAATATAATTTTATTTCGTGCTAAAAGAAATAATCCCTCCAATTATATTATGTACTCATTAAACAATATTATTTGCGACAAATAAATCGCCGAATATAAATTTTGCAGTGTTATCCTGGTTTTCACGGTATATACGCTACAGTCGCATGATTCGTCTACCATGAGATCTTCTATGAAGTTCAAGTCTACGTGCTATCGCGGGCTTTGGAAATGGCGGGAAGTGCTAAGTCTCTCGACCAATCCGCTGACGGCTAGGCGACGCCATGATAGGGTGGGGTCATTCTCCTCTTGAACGTCGCGGCAACTGGACGTGTGATCCACTTTCTGGTACGTAACTTATCGCGTCTATCATTGAGTGAAAATTACATTTCTACTCTTTTTCCCCCTATGCAGAATACGATTAGTCTCACATTTCAATCTAATTAGTGATATTTTTACATATTTGTATTAAATTATGATTTTCGTATGTGCAGTATGTTGGTCGATCGCAAGAATCGTGTAGAAGGTATCAGACGTTAACGAATGCGACGAAGAACGAAGTACGGACGCCATGTTCGCTCGCCTTCAAATTTGCCGAGCCTTCGTGAATATATGGTAATGTTGAATTTCTTATATCGAAGCCAGACTTATTAAGTGTACGTAAGTACTTTATTGGCAATTTGTTTCATGTATAATTTTATAATATATAATTATTACTATATTTGAGATTTTGAAAAATATTCATTAAATCTTGTTATATTTGAGTTAGAAAACGAAATAATTCACATCTTACATTATTTCGGTTTCGAATATTTTACAACATCGTCATAATTTTGTCTTAAACAATAAGTTTTATTATTTTTACGAAAGAGTCGTAATTACAGTTGCCTTGAATTTTCAAACGCAAGTTCGGAAATTATTGCGTCATCATCGTGCAATCCATATGCGCAGTTCGTATGCGCGGTCGGCATGCGCAGTTCGTATGCGCGGTCGGTATGCGCAGCTCGACTGCGCAGGTTGATGGCGCAGTTATATTTCAAGTTCTACTGTATTCCAATCACATCGTTTATAAATTCTTTATAATAGTTATAATGTATTACATACATCTCTGTAGATCAACTAAGTGTTTTATTTCTGACTTGAATGATTAATAGGAGGAATAATGGATGATTACAACATCATAAATACAGCAGTATTTTCTTAACATTTGTTCGACACGGAGAATAACTCCACGTCATTCCACATTCCCCACTAATGCATTTCTTTCAGGAATTTTTGTGGCCGCGCGCGATGCCACCATTCGAGTCAGTGCTTTTTTACGTATCAAATTTTTTCTCAGAGCCCAATAGCTCTTGCCACATATAACCATAATAGCCATACGCGAATGTAGAGTCAGTGTTTGTTCGCCGATGGTAATTCAAACGGACGCGTTAGTAATCTTTTATTTTTCTTTTTTTTTTTAATGTTCGTTATCGGTATTAGAGTCGACACTACCCAGGAATGGACCCAAGGCTGCTCAGCAATCCAAGAACGTAAGTATGTAAGTATGTTCGCACATTGTAACTTAATTAATTTCCTCTTTAAAGAAAAAATTTTATTATTCTACATTTTTCAAATTTTTCCGTAGATGAGACAAGACTTATGGCATTGAGGTCAGTTCCTCAGTGGACAGGATTCATCTCTGCTCCAGAAGTCAACAATGTAAGTTCGTTTGCATATTGTTATTGAATATATTTCCAAATCAATCATACGAAATCAAACACCTCAAATATTTGCGTCTTGATGGTATAACAGTAGTATCGAACGCTTTGTTACAGATTTTCTACAGCCTTCATTTTCCCATGGATCCTACAACGGTGTTACTACTCAAGTCAGCCCCCTACAGATGACGGTCCTCACGATGACTTCGTCTGGGACATTGCAGCATCGTTCTCCGCATCATCGGTGAGTCGCATGCATTTTGGTTCCTCCGGTCATTCAATCATGTCGTAGGACGAAAGGTCCGAATCGACACGGATGACTGGTTGTATTACGTAGAAATTCTTACGAGCATAGTGACCTCGGGTATTTATTATACTCGAGAGTAGTGACAAAATTTCTTTTGTATTTTATTTATCAACTCAGGATAGGTTTTCTTGCACGTCGCGTTTTTGAATAATAATAACAGAAATATAAATTGTTAGTATTGGTATATTGGCACATATAACATTAGTGGCATAAATAATATAATATCGACTAATAGTTCCTTCTTACTATAGTCACTTTTAAAATGAAAACATATTTAGTACGGTTAGTTGTCAATAATAGACACGAATATTTAATTATTTTGTAGTGGAGAAGTCGAATGCCCTTCGACTTCGTTATTATGAAAATTATAATTAATATATTGGAACAATGATTATGTATTGCTATTCATTGTTCCTTTAATAAACAAGTGCCAATGCCATTCTTTGCCTTTCGATAATATTGAGATATTTAATTCTTTGACTCGTAGGCAATAAATCCGAGTCGAATTCAAAATATAATAGCATGACTGTTACATTCCGTTACTGTTAAAATACATTGAACATTAAGTGCAAGAAAACATTTCGCGACAGATAGATTTTGGAACCAAAGTAATAACCTTTGTACTTTTGTGCTTTCGAATATTATGTACTTTGGTGAAAGAATCATCTGAGGTTTTATTATATTTCCATTGTTATATAAATTAAAGTCAATTATATCATCACGTCGAGTCATAGTCTTCCATTTTTTTTGAAAAATAA